CGGAGGTTGTAGCCCAAAAGCGAAAAAAATAACCCACAAGCGCAAATCAGTTTCATAAAAATGTGTATTTCATAAAAATCGTCGATCTTATTAATATTTAACTAAGCATTTACAGTGATTTAAAATTAGTTTAAAAAATTAGAAAAAAATAAAAATAATAATTTTGAGTATTATTTTAAATTAGTTATATTAGCCTACTCTCGGACATAGCGCCATACGAAAAAAAAATAAATATATTAAACTAGTATAATAATGAGAAGGTACCTTAAAATTAAATTTAAAATTTGAAGCCAGCTGTCATTAAGTATTCTAATCTGGAAACTGTTTTTCTTTAAGCAAGGTCCAAATTTATGTATTGTGGATGACAATAGATTTACAGTTTATTTTGGCGCTTTTATCTCACTACCAAGATACAAAAGCGCAAATTTGTTTTTCGCTTTTGAGTTATCGTAAAAAGGTCGATTTTCGCTTTCAGATTTCCCCGGGGTCGGATGCGGTCAGCCTGCAGTTGCCCATTCCTGCTACAGGCAACCCTATGACAGGGACTCCTATAACGTGCAGTCTGATAATAGGAAAAACAGCCTAAGTAAAAAAACATATTTTTCTATTTTGTTAAATTGTATACAATATATGTATCATCGTAACATAATTTACAATTGTTATAATTGGAGTTAATCTAATTTCGATTGTATATTATGCTCCAAATTTAAAAACATCACTAGAGAGTGGAGCCTACAAAGTGTGAAACTGTGTAATGTTATATTGTATATAACTTATATGTATACTGTATAGTGTACCTAAGTATTTTATATCACAGTCTAATCTCAACCTTAAGGTTTGTTTTAAGAGAATTATCTCAGCGAAATGCCAATAACTGTATAGTTTATTTATATATTTTGTAACAAAACAGGCMGTGGCAAAACAAAATATTATATTCTTGTGTATACCTATACATTATATACATATTCGCAAAAACATCTAAAAGTCTGACATAGTTTATATAATATTAACAAATAGAAATTGAATAAATTGAAATTATAAATTATGGCTTACATTTAGATTTTAGTAKGTATGAGATGATTTTCTATTAACGTATAATGGTAAGAAACTAAGCTAAAGTATCGGTATTTTGTATAGCAGGTGAAGAATTAGAAGTTTTATAGTTATTACGAGGACACATATTGATTATATATTCTACTAAAAAATATAACACCTTATTTTATTTATTACTTATAATATTTTCATTTTTTATATTATACTCTTGGGATAAAAAAATCTTTAATATAAAATTATATTTGACTCAATTACTTTTGAATTAATTATATAATTAATATAGATAATTAACAATACTGATTACAATTAATTTTTACAGATAATTAGTTATAGTTTAGTTTCGTGTGGGTATTTCCTTAAATTCGRACAGTCCGAATATCTATAATATGTCTAAATGACTGAAATATTTTGTTATTTTTATTTACTGCGAAGCATAAAATCTGACTATCTAAACGGGGGGTAATTAATATTTTTGCGTCAGGGAGAGAATAATGCGGTCAAGTTGCAATTTACTATTTTTATTTATTAGTTTTAAACATTTTACAACACGTTATGACATAACACTGGATTAAGTATATTATATAAAATATTATTTAGTTATATAATTTAACCATTATATTTCATTGTCTTGAAATTCGTATATWAATTAATTGTGTCGATTTTTGTTTACGTGTACGTATAATGATCAATGAAGGAAATATAACAATCATATCGACAATATCGTATATTTGTCGACATTAAACATTTAATTATATACTACMYAGTACACATCGATAAAAATAATGAATAATTTTATTATAAATTACAATAAAGTTTATAAATATAGTAAACCAAAAGCCGATGGTAGATCGATCGCACACTTTGCTAGTACTAGAATGAATTATGACAAAAAATTTCCTTGTCAGTTAAATTTTAAACTACATTATCGAAATAGTAATACATTATGTGTACTTCGTATACCTATTTCAAAGTGAATGAGTAGAAATAATGTTATTTTTCTAACTTATCATTAAAATTTTTTTTTTATTATAACCAACCTAAATTATACTTTGAAACTGTCGAGTTATGCTCGCAAAGGCAAGAAATTCTTTTCACAGCTTATTGTTTTTAAAACAATTACGAGTTTTTGTTGCAGTCAAATATCAGTTAATCATACTTAGTTAGCTTGTATGTTGTAGGTTGATGTCACCTGGTGACTATATAAAATATTAATTTTAACTTTAAAGGGTTGAATTGATTTGAAAAGTTTTGCGTATAAGAGATTGCAATTGTACATCAGATTACTGAAGTTATTCTTTAAGTTTTTTTAAGTCATTATAATGTAAGACCAAAGTGTACCGAATCACCTATTTTATCTTATTCCTACCGGTATAATTAAAAAAATTCGAAATTACCAGGAGATTGATAAATATTCCCGTTTTTTATTTAATTGTTGTAATAAAAAAAAAAAACATAATATACCTATAGGTTAGGTAGCTACAATTTAACGCAGAGATTTGATATTTAACCTAATTAATAATCATAAATTCTATTTATATGTAGTATATTATACAAAATTATTAGTAAAAACAATTAGTATTAAATYAGGTAAACGACAATTTTTTTCTATTTTATTACAATTTGAATTAACCCCCCCCGATTACCCCCTTTGAAAATGTTATACTTATACAATAATATGTATTTATTTGTATATAATAAATAGTTGATACGTCTTAAAAATCTATAMATTTATAATATAAATAAAATGTTAATACTGTTATTAAATTTTATCCATATGATTGTACTCCACTATGTTTTAAAGTCAGAATTGTATTTTTTTTTTTTTAAAAAAAGCGTAGCTTTCCTATTTTAGATTTTTAAATCCGAGAAATTAAGTTTTACTTAAATACGTCGATCTTGAAATGTACACAAAAATAGACACAACTTATCGCAGAATTCTAATTACTTATATATATTAATTTAAAAAACTCAACATTTTTTCCTCGATTTTTTCATTCAGGTAAGTTAAGGTATATTTATCTTTCCTGGCTTTTGATCACCATTACGAAAAATCCTGTTAGCCCAAGTTTACAATACTATATATACCTATTATTGTATTAACAAACTTGCCCCTCCCTTCCTTAGACAAATATCTTTGAGTGCCTATGCAACACATATTTATAGGGAAGGTTTAAAGATCGTTTTAAGTGCGTTTAATGATTAAACRTTAAGTAATGTTAAAAAGTAAAAATTGTGAGACAACGTAGCTTTTATAACCAAACCGATGGAATTCGTCATCATAAAAATAAATAGTAATAATTATTATAATTACGTCATTTAAGTAGTACCTACATACAAAATATAACAATAAAAAGAAATTATGACTTCCCTCGCCCCAAAAAACGAGCCTCGTACTTAAGTGGGGATGACGCGACAATGACATGCACCGAGAGGAGGTAATTCAAATCAATATTCTAAAATATTCGATAGCGTATAATATGGTCTTGGCGCAGAAGGTTTCCAAACTCGAAGGGAGTAAAAAATGATTAAAAATGCATTTGGAGTGCGTGGCGCTTATATTAACACCCCCATCGGAACCCCGCGGTGCTCATCAAGCGGACGGAACAATCGTCATGCACCACTGGGTGGGTGGGCGAGTGGGTGAGAGGGGCGGTCTGATACTATACGTATGCCGTCAAGCGCAAGCGTCGCACCGTCTACGCTGTGCGATAAGCGTCGCCAACTCGCGACGGTAACRATAACAACGTACACAACACAACAAAGCAGTGCACCCTCGTAGCAAGTTGCGAGCGTTTCCTCACGTCTCTATCGACAGTTCCGAATTCATTTCCGGTACTCGTTGTATAGAAGTATAGTGATCAACTCCTGGTGGTAAAAAACAACCAGCTGAAACCGATGACGAGACCTATTCTCGAGCCTATTCTATAATAATTATGCACCGATCAAACCGCCGTATTCGACACGGAGCGGCAGTAGCAATAAACAAAAACTGTTTTAGCATTAAAATATTTTGAAAAAACGTWGGAAGGTACACTGTTCAGATTTTTGAAGATGATTTTAGCTAAGCAGAGCCTTAAAATATTCTGTGGACGGAGGGAAGGGGAAATCAAAACTTGTATGTGTATCATATCACACGTAGCTATTACGCATTGTTCTTTTATTCTATATTATAGTCTATAGAAGCAAATTCTTTAATTATATTTTGTTAGACAATAATTACAATTATTATTATTGTTCAACTGAAGCGGCGACTTCAAAACGTAAGTAATTATAAATTCGTTAAGGACTGCGCATACGTCATGCCATTAAAATAGCGGGAGGGGGTAAATCAAATCACAGACAAGATCTATAGATTTATTATAGATTCACCGACGTAGATTAACCTAACCAACAACAACTATCTGCCTACCGGTTGTTACTCGTTCTCATCTATCAATCACATCGTACGTATACCCACCACCAGATACACGTAACATTTAATCAATGGAAATTATTTAGAGTTGGACAAAAAGCAATGGTTGATATCGACTGCCCTACGGCTTACTCACTCGAGTAAGTTTGAAGTTCCACCGCGGTCCACTCGACCCTACAACCTTCATTTTTAATTCCATTTTCTTGTTCTAATTATTTAGCCAATTCTCATACTGACCGTCCTATGCGGATTGCTAATGAAGACCTCCACCTTCAATGTTACCCTTAAAAAATATATTGTTCAACTGGGTATTTGCTAATATTATTATTTTAAACATTATTWCTCGCTTAGTTATTATTGGTAGATAATATTTACTAATTTTCTTAATATGTTTACTGCTTGTAACATTAAATTTATTGTTAATACCTATTATATCGAATTTTTTTTGTTTTATTGGGCTCAAACCTTTGACTTATTAAAAATAAAAATTATGATAGTGTATAGGTAGTAATCACATTAAAATACTTATACTCACGTTTTGCGCGACCATACCGGCCGGCATGACTCCGGACGTCCCCGGAGCAGTGGCGGCGCCCGGCGCGCAGTTGTTGATCGGCTGCGACGAATACCGGGACTGGTCGTTGAGGAAACACAGCAGCTGGTATCCGAACCACTTGGGCACGTAAGCGGCACCGCCCGATTCCCTGGCCCGTTTCACCTTGACGTTCTCCCGGCTGAACTGCACCCGTAACGTGCAAATCTTCTTGGCGATCTCCTCCTTGGGACACTTGAGCTTGACGCTGATCTGTTCCAGGGAATCGTTCTTCATCCGTTTGTTGCGGTAGTGCACCGAGCTGGTGTCCCACAGGGCCGGACGGCTCCGGAACAAGTCGATCAGCTGGATGGTCTGCTCCCGGTACCACTCCATGGCCGCCCCCGGTACAGGGTGGTTCGCGGACCACCAGCACCACCTCAGCCCTACGAGCTCGCTAGACGTGCGACGGACGCGAGTGGAAAACCGTTGGGTTTTCGTTTCGAATTTCGGACGGTTCGAGTGGTGGCGACGCGCATGCGGGGTCGGCGCGCACGGTGTGAGCTGACGGAATAAAAAACGGCATACAAACAAACAACGATGACAACCGTGTGAACGGCGGGAGATTCAAAACGATATAGCGATGATTGTTATAGTGATGATATTATTGTCGTGCCGGCCAGACGACAGCGAAGAAGACGCGAGAGGAGCACAGCAGCAGAAGCAGCAGAACGATAGGCGGCGGAAACGGGCGCGCGTTTCGATGGTTGATGGCAAACTGCACCGGCCTTGGGTTTAGTTCACGTTATAAAACAATGTTTAGTGAACAACTGCCGGCTGCGGCGCGTTGTTGCCGCGGCGCATGCGCACCGGATTTCGATCAACAAAATAATGTTTTCCGTTTGTACATCGGGAAAAACAAAAACCCGGTCGTCGTCGTCGTAGTCGTCGCCGCCGCCGCCGCCGCCGCCGCTTCCCAAGGTTGCGTCGAAAAAAACACTCGCCGTGTCACACGCACGCACACAGCGGCCAGCCGGGCGACAACAATGACATCAACACGGCGGCGGCGGCGGCGGCGACGACTACGACGACGACGACCGAGTGGCGGCGTCGGCGCGACGCGCAGCAGTATTCCAACAATGCTCATTACTCGCCGCTTGGGCCTCCGGTTGGCAGCACAAGCGTTTTGTTGTTGCTGTGGSCGCCTCCGCCGCCGCCGCCGCCGCTTCCCAAGGTTGCGTCGAAAAAAACACTCGCCGTGTCACACGCACGCACACAGCGGCCAGCCGGGCGACAACAATGACATCAACACGGCGGCGGCGGCGGCGGCGGCGGCGGCGGCGACGACGACGACCGAGTGGCGGCGTCGGCGCGACGCGCAGCAGTATTCCAACAATGCTCATTACTCGCCGCTTGGGCCTCCGGTTGGCAGCACAAGCGTTTTGTTGTTGCTGTGGVCGCCTCCGCCGCCGCCGCCGCCGTTGACGAGGCAGCGTTCTCACCGGAGCGCTTATCGCCCAAAATATTCTCACCCCCTCCGCCGACGGCACTACACGTCTACACAGTCACCATCACCACGACCAYGGTCAATGGCGTACTAGTTGTAGAGAGAGACTAGAAAGCTGGTCCAACATCAGCAGCATCTGGGTCAGCCTTCAGGCAATCTATAACCGTTTTTTTTTTTTTTGACAAATGTTAAAAAAAAAAATGCTTTTAGCTTTTGTGTCGTCCACGGCAACCCTGAGAATATTATCGTTATTATTGTTTTTCCCTTTTCAACCCGTCGGCGGGGAGTCCAGCATTGTGCTCGTTATTATTATTTTATTGCACAACAATAGGTACTACCGGCTTGAAAAGAATAAAAACTAAGAGACAGACGGAAACTTTTTACAGCATAATTATTTATTATTATTATTTTAAATWGTCGCTCGCAAGTACACACGACTACTGCTTCGACGTGCAGACAGGCAACACTCCCCTCCACCACCCACCGAAAATAATAATCGAGATCAATGAACAAAAATATTACTATAACAACGACACCAGCGTACAAAAATTAAATCGAAATTGACGAAATTTKCAAACGACGCTGCGTCGTCAACAACCGACTGCCGCGGCGTACATCGATTTCCTGTAAAGTGTGTTTTATTCTGCGTATCATAGGCGAATAGGCCTACCGGGCAAACGAGCATTTGCCGGTGGGCCCCCTTCTTATTTCGGTAACTGGGCCCTTTAATATCATATATTATTAATTTTTTTTTTCATGTGGAGGCCCGTTTTTTAAATTTTCCGGTAGGCCAAAAATGGCCTATATCCGCTCATGCTGCGTATAACAGTATAGTATAGATTTTTAATGAAGACGAACAAACGAAGATTATAAATAATAATTATAACAGTGGTGTAATTAGGATTTAAAGAACAGCATACAATTTCCAGAGGTCTCTTAAATTTTTTAAAATAAACAATTTTCACTATTTAAAGTTGAAAATTGTTTAAAATACCAATAGGTATACTATTATTTTCATATTTATTATTATTGCGAAATCTGTAATTTAATCAAAAAATGGTATTTTCGGTTAGACTAGAACCCGGTTTTTACAATTGTAATATTTTTTTT